CGGCAGAACCCCAGACACCTTCCACACGGATGCCCAAATGGCAAGAGAAGAGAGCCCAGGCTCTCTTCTGCTGCTCATTAGCTGTGTGGAATACACACCCCTTCCTGCTGCTTCATTAGCTGTGTGGTCTCGGGCGGGTCTCTTTGCTCTGCGAGTTTTAGTTCACTCCTCCCCAAATCCAGGCAATGACACACACCTCAGTGTGGATCGTGGGTGTGGTAGAAAAGGCCACTCGCAGCACATGCTCTTTTACTATCACTGCCAAGATCACGCCAATCCTCACGTCAGTATTCATGAAGTTAGAGAGAGCTAGAAGGGATGCTGTGTGTGGACGCTGCTTCCTCTAGATTTGGTAGGAGGAGGGAACGAGGTGGAGGGGAGAGGGCCCACCATGGACTTGTCGTCAATGTCTACCATCTAAATATCACCTGCCTACATGACCTCAGCCCAGCGTCTGAAACCTCAAAATAATATACTCCATCGTGCTGGCTTCCTGGCAGATCCAAACAGGGCTTCCCCCCTGAGCGCTGTGTGGCTCCGGGTAAGCCGCTTCCCCGCTCTGAGCTTTACGTTTCGCACCTGTGTTATGAGCACACTCAAACCTGCTCCCGAGATGAACCGAGATAGGAGCTCATGAAGCCCTTCGCCCTGGAGCTATTGCCAAGGAGCTGACAGGTGACGCCAGCAGGGATTCCCCGAAAACTACCTGCGTCCCTTGGCATCTAGCGTGCGAATTCTTCCGGACTTGGACGCAGCCAGACCCAGCCAGAGTCATACATCCCTGGGCCCCAAGCTCATGCTCTCTGGACCCTCCCTGGGGCCTCCCTCTGGGTGACCGTGGGCATCAGCCGCTCACAGCCAGGCCCCTCCCCACCTGAGTTCTCAGACTTCAGCAGGGCAGGCAGGTGCTTCCCTGCAGAGGAGACACCTGCCTGTCTCCCGTGGAGTCACCTGGGGAATAACCCGTCAGGGGGCACCACTGGCCTGCCATCCAGCAAGGGGGACGGTTGCAAAGCACAGGTCCATCTGGCATCCAGCCACGATGAGGACACCCTGCATTGCAGACATGGCCGCTCCTCACAGTTCCTGCGTCTGGCTGAGGCTTCCTTCTCCCCCGAGTGAGGGAGGTCGCCCCCGACCACGGGCGGATTTCTGACCTCCTAGGGCTTTTGGTTTCTTTGGCTGGTGAAGTTTACGGTGGTGCTGAACTAGATTCTTTCTGAGTTTTTATGGAAGAGGATTGCCAAGACAGTTCCGAAGGAGGAATTTTAATATGTTGAGCGATTGCAGCATTATTGTTTATGTGGATGGCCTGTGGCTTTCCAAAAGGACGCTTTTGAAGGGTGTTCTTGTTTGGTTTGTAATAAACCCATTCTATCCCCGTATTGGTGCGCTGCCTCAGCAGACAGGTGGTATTTAGACAGTAGACAGTCAGTCTGTGGGAGCTGGGCTGTCCAACTCTGCCCGGCATGAGGATGCAGGGTTTGGCCCGAGAGACGTGGCAGTGACATTAGCCTGCTTGTCTGCCCCTGCCTGAGGTTGTCCGGGCGCAGGATCTGGAGGTGACATCTCACCTTCAGAGGCAGCGAGAGGACAGGCTTCTCACCTTTCTCTGCAGCTTATCCGTACTGCTTGGCAGAGTTCTTGTGCTCTTTTACGTGCTGGTGGCTCTTTTAAACCATGGCTTTTCCCCTGTGCCCCAGGCAGAGAGGCAGAGAGATCTGTTCTGGCCCCGACACTAATTTGGGGTGTCTCCCGGAGGAGGTGCATTCAGGGTCTCCTTACACGGCCGTCTTGAGCTGCAAGCTAAACCCAGCTCGGCCGTTTTGATGGCTCCTTCCAGAGTCCTCCCACGACAGCCTGCTGTCTTTCGGAGGACGTGGTTTTTATCAAATGGGCTCTCGGCTCCCTTTTTTGTCTAAGATTCTATGGCCGAGAGGCAGGGGACAGCAGGCAAATGCTCCTTGTGGGGACTCAGGATCCAGGAGGACTCCCTAAGGCATCTCTAGCCCATGTTCTGTGGCCCCTGCTGCCCACAGGGGAGCCACTAACCGCCCTGAAAAGGAGCCGGCTCCGAGCTCAGTTGTGAGGCTGTATGACAGGGCAGGGCTAGCAAGGGCTCTGTCCCACTCCCTGACCAGCAGTGACGAAAAAGACAGGGCTGCAGGCTTCAGGGGGTGTCCGGGCTCCCTGGCATCCCCATGTTCTACGTGAAGATCAGTGGACTGAAGACCTGTGCTTGAGACGCGGATTAACTGATTCATTTCTTCACCCTTTTCACATTGAGCTTGGCTGGTCACTAATCGTTTAAATAGGAGTGAGGCCCAGAACTGAGTGGAGGACCACCTAGTCCAGCAGGAGAGGTAGGCATGGCAGTGGATAATGGCTGGATGACTGCAACACAGAGGCAGAGCCCCTAAGAGGAAGGCATGAGAGGTGTAGGGGGCTCACCAAGGTAGCCATTGATTCTGCCTGCAGGAATTCAGGGCAGGGGGCCAGGGGAGGTTCCACTGGAGGGGGCATTCGAACCCATATGATTGCAGGGAAGGAACGTCTCTGTCATCCCTAGTTACGTACTAAGTCATCTCAGAAGAGGCGGCTGAGTCTTGGAGAGGTTCAGTGGGGAAGATGATACTTGTCTTAGAAAAAGGATCTATGGGGAAAATGTACAGACTTGCCAGGTATAAAACACTGGATCCTGTCGGCCACAGCCTGGCCCCTCTGCCTCCAGCTGGCTGCCTGGGGCCCCCAGCCATCAGGAAACTCAGCCCCTCCTTGGATCAGTGGAGGGTTCTTGCTCCCAACTCCGGTTCCACCAAGAGAAGAGGCTTGCCACTGCTGTAAGTCTGCCCACACCTCCTCCCAGCTGCCCCTAACTGTGTGATGCACGTGTCTGAGAGCAAGGACGAGGTTGTCCTCGTAAGTCCCCAGGTTGAGACAGATCTGGGACCGAAAGGCAGGAGGCAGTGCCCTCAACCATTTTTATGTGATTTATAATCCTACCCGAGTCTCTCCTGTAAATCCCTGGGGGAGGCAGCAGGGAGCACAGCTCAGTGGCAGACTGAGATTAGAACCTAGGGAGGCTCTTCTGAGCCCCCCACCTTTCTGCTGCTTCCTGACAGCAGAGGCTGCTCAGCGCCGGTCACTGCTGGGGGTCAAAACGCCAGCAGACCAGCTGCAGCAGGAAGCCATCAGGCTCTGCTGTCATTATTCATCGTTCTGCGACCACCTGCCCACCCCCCTCCCCCAAAAGAAGAGCTGCGTGGTGACGCCTTCGTACCTATCCTGATCCATTCAGTTAATTCCCACAAATCTATCGTGGGGCAGAAATGAATGAGACACTATAATTTATCTAACGCCAAGAAATGCGGTCTGGAAGGGTTGCTAATTCAGGCTCCCTTTGTTCTCAGCCCAGATCTGACTCCACCAGCGGCTTCGTTTAGTGAACGCGAGCCTCTCCACGCCCCGTTAGAAAATCAGGTTTGCGCGCTCCGAAGGCAGCAACGCGCCTTCTCGAGGTAGGTTCTGGTACCGACCTGCTGCCAGCCCCGCCAAGGTAGGTTCTGGCTTTGGGAAGTAGCGGTTGGAGGAGCTTTCACCTCAACTTAGAAACATACCAGGGCTTTGTAAGACCATGTACAACGGAATAATTTCAAAAATTACCCTGGAGATGAAGTAATTTGTTCAATATTTCAGAGAGGCAAGCAACAACCTGAATCCAGGTCCTTGGGTGCATCTAGACGTCTGGGCAGGGCCCCGTCTGGTTCCTTCCCAGGAGAGAGGAAAGCGAAAGGAGGTCACTGCGGACATCCTGGACACCCCACCCTCTTCCTGGTCCTCCTTACCTTCACCTCATGTCTGTCCCTCTGAGCCTCAGCGAACACCCCAGGGGCCGGCTTTGTGCTGGGCAATGCTGTAGGTTTTCCTCCTCATATCCACATTCCCCATTCAAGAAAGATAACATTTCCCACATTGAAAGCCACACCAGGCCTGATTTCTTTTTCTTTATTTCTTTCTTTAAGATTTTATTTATTTACCTGAGAGAGAGACGGTGCAAGCACAGAGAGGGAGAGAAGCAGGCTCCCCGCTGAGCAGGGAGCCATATGTGGGGCTCGATCCCAGGACCCCGGGATCATGATCTAAGCCCAAGGCAGATGCTTAACCGACTGAGCCACCCAGGTGCCCCTCTTTTCAAAAAACATTTATTTATTTATTTATTTATTTATTTGAGAGAGAGAGAGAGAGAAAATGCATGTGTAAAGGGGGAGGGAGAGGGACAAGGGATAAGTAGACAAGTAGACTCCATGCTGAGCGAGGAGCCGATGTGGTGTTTGATCTCATGACCCCAAGATCATGCATGACCTGAGCTGAAATCAAGAGTCAGCTGCTTAACTCACTGAGCAGGCACCCCAGACCAGACCTGGCTTCCACTAGAAATCAGAGAGGGTGACGAACCGTGAGAGACTCTGGACGCGGGGAAACAAACTGAGGGTTACAGAATGGGGGGCTGGGGGATTAAGCTGGGCATGAAGGAGGGCGTGTGATGTGGTGAGCACTGGCTGTTATACATAACTAATGAATCACTGAACCCTACATCAGAAACTAGTGATGTACTATATGTTGGTGGGAAAGGGGCCAGAGGACTGACTGACTGCATTTCTGCCCCTCTGTAGATGAGATCATTCTGGTTCCTTGGTCTCTAGCCCACCCAGGTCTGTGGGTCAGTGAGACACACTCTCAGGAACAGGGAAAGGAGGTAGGCTATTACACATTTCTGGGACTCTTTAAGAAAAAAAAACAAAAAACAGAAGAGGTCAAGTAAGCAAGCTTTTAGGAAGATTTTTTCATCAGACCTTCACCCTTGCTGCTGGATTCATTCAACAAACATTTATTGAACACCTGCGATGAGCCACACGTCCTTCCACATCCTTGGGATGCTTCAGGAGCCCTCCTGCCTTCCAGAAGCTTACATGTTAGGTCTCAGCTTTATCCTTTTTGCCTTAGTTTTTGCTGTACGTCTCTGGTTTGTTTTTTCCTTCTGCCTCAGTAGCTGGTAGGCAGCACCTATTCCAGGGGTTGGAGCATATTTCCGCCTTTTTCTCACCAAAATGGCAGAAGAAAAGTCTGCAGGTTCCATGTTCCGTAAGGCAGATAACATCTCTGATTCCAGGTGGAATATCCCCTGTTGATACAATATAATAGAGTTGATATTGAGTTCAAATGGTACAGAGAAAAAAAGATGACCCAAGCCCATAACTCTGAATATTTACCTATATTCCTCCAAAGTTCCATGTCTTTGGACTAGGTCCAGTTTAACTGAGGTTTGGTTTCTTAGCTTTAAAACAGGAACAATAACCTACACCTCAAATGTTCTACACCAACAATAGGGAACACTCCATCAAAAAATAATGATGTACTGTATGGTGACTAAAATAACAGAATAAATTTTTTTTAAAAAGAGTGTAAGTGAGATTCCTCCAAAAAAATCAAAATTGTTTCCAGAAGGGTATATATTTCATCCTAAATTATTACAACAGGATTCTCAAGCTTCCTGGTGACAGACAGGAGTTAGTGAATTAGGGGAAAGCCAAGACGTTTCAGAGAACAGAGTGGAATGAAGGAGAGGTGGTCTCCGTCTCTAGGAAAACGAAATAGTTCTGATTCTCAGCTTGCAGTCCCATTTTTAGTTTCATGTCTTACAATGAAAAGAGGAAAAGAAAACCTTTTTCTTCACCATGACTTGTGAACTTGGAGGTCAAGGACAACCCCCCAATATGGAAAGTGTTTTCCATTTGTCACAAGGAAAAAAAAGTGTAATTATGTGCGGTGACAGACGTTGGCTAGGTTTCTTGTGGTGGTCATTTCACAATACATATGAATACAGAATCACTATACTGTTTATCTGAATCTATAAAGTCATATGTATATATGTATAATACACATATGTATAAAGTCATATGTCAATTCTATCTAAAAAAAAAAAAAAGCACTCCCTATTTGGGAATGAGATGGTTGAATGACAGCTCTGATGTCAGGTCCGCAAATCTCACCTACAATGACCACGAAAACCAACAAAAACCACAAAATGTCCACAGTGTTGGTCTTGCACGATTTATTTTATTTTATTTTTAAAGGCTCTATTTATTTATTTGGTAGAGAGAAAGAGAGAGACCACAGCAGGGGGAGAGGCAGAGGGAGAGGTAGAAGGAGAGGTAGAAGCAGGCTGCCTGCAAGCAGGGAGCCCAACACGGAGCTCGATTTCAGGACCCTGAGATCATGACCTGAGCCGAAGGCAGACACTTTACTGACTGAGCCACTCAGGAGCCCAGGACTTGCACGATTTAAAAAACAACCCTGTGCAAGATCTCGCAACAGCTGGCGCCTACCCTGGGATCCTGTATTGCCTCTGCTGTGGCTTGCGGGGGAGACAGTCACATGAAGACATGGGCCCCACAGCAATGAAGGTAGAAGAACCACAAGCCTAGGGACCTGGAGATCTGCACTCTAGTCTTACCTCCTCCAGTAGCTAATTCTCTCTCCTTGGAGAGTTTGTTTAACCTGCAATGCCTCAGTGTTCTCCTGTAGAAGTAACCACCTGGGGTGGGGGGTGCTGGAGGAATGCTGTCCTAGGTATAAGTCACTCACTGCTGGGGCTGTAACAGGGGTGAGTCCCCCAGGATAAGCTGTTGCTTTCCCAGGAGCTCAGTGTTCTCTCCCTGTAGAGCACAGGGCCACCATTGATGACCCATCGTCCCTTCCAGCTCCGACATTCATTGGACTGTCATTTCCTCCTGGGAATTTTTCTCAGACTGCGGTGAGTGTTTCCTATGTGTATCAGAGCCTTTGTCTGTGTTAGATGATCCCGATAACTCATATTTCACTTTCTAAAAAACTCTTCCCAAGGAAGATCCAAATAGTCCAGAGCTGAGCTGCAGAGGGGTCCACCAGTACACAGACACCCCAGCCCTCCACACGGGCATCGTCCCTGGGGTTCCTGCCCTACCTGCTCTGGTCACCTCCAGTAGGTTTCTTCACCAGCCAGGAGATATTTACCTGAGTTCACTTGGACCAGACAGAAGAGGACACTGAAAAGAAAGAGGCCCTTCATGGTTCAAGGTTTCCTCCGGCTCTCCTAGCCCTCCTGTGCAGAAAAACCAAGCCAACAAAACAGTGGAGTAGAGTAGCCAAGACACAAAAATGGGACATTTATAGGTTTTTGGGAACACTGATCAGGAATGAGCACATTTATCTGGTCTACTGAGTAAGACTGTGGGCAGAAGGTACTAGATACTCTTCCTTTCTGCCTAAAAATAGACAGACTTCTTGATATTGGGAGAAGCAGGGCTTCACCGACAGCTGGCTACACCAAGGTTGCATAGGCCCCTGTGCACCAAGAGACATGCCCAAGAGCATTGTTATAGCCTCCTTCATGATGGCCATCAGCAGAACACAAACCACTTAGCACATTCCACCCAGTAATAAAACCAATAAGGCATCCCCCCACAGCAGCAAACATCAAACAGCCATCACCACAGATGGTTACAGCACGGATGTGCCGCACAGACATCCTGCATGGGAAAAAGCCAGACACAACACACCGCATTGTATTTTTATATATGGCAAATCTAATTTATGTATTAAAAATCAGGAAGTTGTCTACTTTGGTGGAAGAAGGTAGAGTCTTCTCTCATTCAACAAAATTGTCTTGAGTGAAAGAGTGGGCAGCCTAGGGGAGACAAGGGGAAGGCTCTACAGGGTGCTGGGCTGCAGGATGGAGCCCACCTCAGGGGACACCAGGTGAGCCTTTGTAAGGAGGATGGCATTAGACCCAGGTCTGGAAGGACAGCTTGCCACACAGCTTTATGTAACAGACAATGCTAAAATGTCCAGTTGCTACAGCTACTCCTTCTGCCCGTACCTGGCTACAAGCCCTCTTCCCATCTCATTCTCCAGGCCTTCATGACACCTGTTGCTGGTTTCTTATCCATCCTTCCAGACATTTTCCATGTTTACATACACGGAGATGAATCTCTATGCCCCTTTCTGTATACACAGTGACAGACTATACTTCTTACTCTGGACTTGCCTTTTTTTCATGATGTACCTTGGAGACGTATTAACTAGGTGCATGGAGAGTATCTTCATTTTTTTATAACAGCTGCATATGAGTTCTTTTAGGTGGTCTCCTACCTGATTTACTCCATCCACAACCATATCTGACCATGCATCTTACGCAGACAAGGGATTTCAATGAGAAGTCAAGTGGTGGCCTCAGACTTCTGGAGGTGAGCAAAGACCTAGGTGATCAATGCAGGTGGCCAGAAGAGATGAGGGCCTGGAATTCACTTTGGACATTCCAGGGCTAGAAAGATGAAGCAAAGACAGTGGGTCCTAATGAAGGATACCCTGATTCACTGGACTTTCTGTATCTTGTAAAAATATCTATGAAAATAGGAGATCAGAGAGCCCCTGGGTGGCTCAGTCAGTTAAGCATTTGATCTTGTTTTTGGCTCAGGTCATGATCTCAGGGTCATGGGATTGAGCCCCAGATCAGGTTCCTCATTCAGTGCAGAGTCTGCTTAGGATTCTCCCCTTCTTCTTCTCCCTCCTCTTCTGCCCCAACCCTGGCACTCGCTCACTCTCTCCCTTTCAAAATAAATACACAAATTAATTAATTTAAAAGAATCTTTAAAAATGTGAAAGTAGGGGTTAAGGAGGAATTATTTGGAAACTAAATGCTGCTTTTCTCTCTTTGCCAACAAAAGGTCACCCTATCAGTAACTATGAACAAAGCAATCATAAAAAAGATATCAAGATGTGTATGTGTTGGGGTCAAACAGTATATAAGAACGCTGTTAAAATTTGAAATCCTTTTTCTCTGGAGCATTTGTTCTGAACAGATCTCCAGATGTTCCCATTGTGAAAAAAGCATAAGAATCTCGATTCAATCCTTGAGAAAACTGGTTTCCATGCCAAGAACACATCCTAGGCTCATGACTTCCAAAGAATGATTGTAATTCTGAATCTACCTTCATGGATGGAGAATGTATAGCTAGGAGATGCAAGAATTACTGTCCAGTACAAATTCTAGCATGTATATACCCAGATGTATGGGTCGTTTGTTAAAAGTCGCCTTGGTAGGTGAAACCATAAGAAGCATGTTTCATACTTGGTGTTCTTTCTTGCCAATTAGACTAACCTGATTTAGAAAAGATTTAAGGTAAATGTGGTTGGTATTTTTTTTTTCTAGCAGTCCATCCAGCACACAAGTAGTTGTGAGATTAGAGTTTGAAAATTGTTTTCTGTATAGTTTGGAAATTTTATGAGCTATGTTGGGAAGATAGGTCACCTAGGAGAAAAATACATGAGCCATATTAGAATTTATCACCCACTTCTTTCTTTACCCGCAGATCTACTATTTCCAAGTCACAGACTCAGATATAACTGCTAAGGAGGAATTTCGTGAATAGTGTTGGAGAATTAGACATGCCATCCCAACAGAAGACAAACTAGGAAATTGAGCTCATTGAACAATCTCATTAATCTGGTCATCCAGTCATTCGTTCTTATAATTACAGGGTTGAAAGGAACTTAAGCTCTGTTTGTCCCAACATGGAAGATAATTATTCTGCTGTGCATTATAGTCATACAGAGAAAGATGGCATAAGGAGAGATGAGAGATGTCCCTGGGTTTGAAAATATTTTAGAGTGGCAAGAGATTTTTATATATTTTTTAAAAACTTTGATATAATTCACCAATAATTAGATAAACAACCTAATTTAAAAATGGGCAGAGGACTTGAATAAACATTTCTCCAGGGAAGAAATGCAAATAGCCAAAAGACACACAGAAGGTGTTCAACATCAGTAATCATCAGGAAAATGCAATTTGAATCACACAGACACCATTTCCCAGGCACAAGGATGTCCATTAGAAATAATAATAATAATAATAACAACAACAAAGCCAAGTGGTGTTGCTGCCCCATGACCCAAGAAGTTTTTATTTCCAATTTTAGTCTCACCATTTCACTAAATGAGTACCAGATGGTTAGAATTTGGCCAAGAATCCCACCCACCTGCCACCCAGGTGACTCTGAGATAGGGCTCCACTGCTCTCAAATAATTGGTGAGTGAAGGTATTTACTCTTTCCACTTACTTATTTGCCCCATGAGAATGTAAGCTCCATTCAGGCAGAGGTTTCTGTGGTTGGCTCTTTATCTTTAGGACCTAGAACAGTGCTTGTCACATGATAGGAGCTCAATGGATACCTGTTGAATGAATTCATATGTTTTCCAGTAAAGATTGAATTCAAATCAACACAAAGCATAAGGAAAAAAAAGTACAAAGTAAAGGCTCAGTGTAAGTCATCACAGGAGAGAGTGCCAAGCCCCAGTAGTCACACCTCCTTTGTCCACTGAGGGCTGTGCTTGGGATACTTACAGGAATAGCTCTCAGTTTCCCTTCATTTTGGACAGACTAATTTTCATTTTTGTTCTTACAAATATGACTCACTGATTGTCACGAAGAGCTTAGGTTGAGAAGGACATGTTTGCCTACTGTGCTCACCAGGAGTCATAAAAAGCCACAACACAGTTATTGCTAGAGTCGGGGCCAGGACCAGGCATCAGCATTCCTGGTGAGGGCTGATTCCTCTGCTCACACGCCCACATCTAGTGGCATCTGGAACTCACAGAGTCACATGCCCTCCTGCAGGGACAGTGCTTTCCCCCAGAGATTGAGCCCCCGTCCTGGCCAGGGTCCATCTCTCTGAGGTTGTGGCCAGGAAATATCCTGAGAAACATATGTGTGTTTCTCAGAAAATCAGAGTCATGTAAGATGAGAAAGCCCATACTCGGACTTTTCTGCCTTGAAGTGAGCTGGGTTAGTGTCCTGGTTTTGTCATCTGATACCCTACCGGATTTGGGTTGGATCACTTAGTTCTCTGCCCTTAATTTGTCCTACAGTGAAACAGGAACAACAACTGGCCCATTGCAAGGGCCTTGGATAGAGAGGGAGGGGGTAGCAATGAATTCTCTGAGCGGAGTGGAAACAAATCACAGAAGGGATCCATAGGAAGTAGGCAGGAGAGATGCTTTCCTGCTCTCCCAAAAACCCATGCTTAACCACAGCATCCACGGATGCACTTAGACCCACAGAGACATTTAATCAGACTTCTCTGCCTCCTAACTGGGCTCGATGTCCTTTCCCTGCAACCAGGGTTGATCCTGACCCCCTCTGGCAAAGGGAAAGCTAATGCTAGTCATCTGACACTGGGGAATTTTTTTGGTCTATCAGGAAAGAGGCAAGCGCTGTGTTAATGGTCTCAGTTTCCCTTTATTTGGACATACTAATTTTAATTTTTGTTCTTAATGAAGAGGGGACTCCCTGGGTCCAGTAAGGTAATTTCCTCTGACCCAAGAGGTAATCTGAGTCAGTCCAAGCCTGCAGGCTATGGTGACCACCACATGTGTGGACAGGTAGAAAAAAACTCGGCGTGGCTGTTATTAAAGTCATAGGATGCCAAGTCATTGGATTTGGTTGACTGAGCCTGCCCACCTGGTGCCCACCCCAGCAGACCTAGGGCTTTGAGGAGAAAATAGATTCCCTGATGAAGGGGTGCTCCGGGGGATGGATGGGTCACAGGGATCAAAGCTCACAGAAGGTCTGGGGTGCAGTGGGAGGCAGGACACTGTGTGTGCAAGGTGGGCGTGGGGAGCACAGATGGAGGCAGCCAGGCGTGGCTGTAATGACCTAAAGCAATTGCTAGCTCAAGGGTCTCTTCCCACCAGGGGTACAGCAGGTGTCCATAAAGCCTTGCCTTCCTCAGGGTCCTGCACGAGGCAGGCTTCTGTGAAAAGAACAACACAAGTGTAATCAACAGAGCTGCTGACTCAGAACTTGCCTGGAGAGCCCATAGTGCTCATTCTCTTGTCTCTAAGCAGGACTGTAGGTGGTAGAAAAACATCAGTTGTTATCTGATTCTTATGCATCCCAAAGTTGGCTCCAGAATCTCTCTGCGGAATGTGCTTTAATGTTTTATAGTCTTAATACCCAGAAGTTCTTTCTTATGTTAGATTTAGGACTTTCCTGGTGCAATGTCTTTG